GCCGATGGGCTGGGGTGAATCTTCATAAGCAGATACAGGGGCATAATGGGCCCTATCGACCTGGTAGCTTGTAAGTCTTGCCTGCCAAGGTGCCATGAGGAGATGATGCAAAGGCGCCACGGCTATTACCTTTAAAAATGCCCCCTTGGCCCGTTGGTCAGTAATGAGCCCGCTGCGCCACAAGTTCTCAACAAGTTGGGAATTTGTACGACCAGAACAGCGCCATGCCATCTTGACAAAAAAGAGGTGATTTCGAAAAGATTGCCAATACGCAGACACGCAGGAGCCCCGCCTCTTTCGGAACGTTTGGCTCTTCTTAAGGCGCAAGTCAGAAAGCTCCGTGCAAATAGTGCTGCCCAAGTTGCTTTTTTTTCTTTCGTTCTTCTCCCTTTTAAGAGAAAAAGAGTTCAGGATCTCGGGTGATATTGCACTGGAAAGAAGTGTCGACATATTTACATAAGTGGATTGTTTGTGGCCAGTAGTTGACATTTGTTGTCAGCGGGGCCTCCGGCTTCCAACGACCATACAAACCAGACCTTTCGCTACAAATACTCCTACCTAGGTACCTACCTACGTACTGCGCTGACGTCGCCCATGATCATCTTGCTGCATTTCCTGGCCGAGTACTACATCGAAAAGAAGCACGGTACCTGCGTACTTGGGTACTTGGTTGACAAGTGCTTAGCCAGGCCGAGCAAGTACTGTAACCATTCGTAAAGCACTTATTGTGCAAAAGCAGAGACAGTATGTTTATCGGCATTTAGAATGACTAAGCGCATACATGGATCTGCTGCGCATCATGTGAAATGGCAACGACTAGCCCACCATTTAAATTGACCATCATCCGACCTAGAAACATATGTAATTCCATCGCGTTGTAGAATAACCTTGCCACCTGTCATTGCAATCGCCAAAACACACGCAAGAGAAAGACCGAAATGGTACCATGTCGCTATAAATGCAAAGTCCTAAGATCCAAGGCCGGAAAAACAAAAAGAAAAGAAAGGTCACAAGTAGTTCCAATTCCACGCGACACTCGCTGCTTTAGACGTAGAGGTGGTCGGCCTTTCATTGCTTCACACCACATGCTCAGGGCTCTCTCCTTCACCGACAATAGGAACGCCCAATCCTCGGTCTGGACTCCGCAGTACCAACTGCTCGTGACGCCGTGCTTTCAGAAATTCGGCTATGCTCTTAATCAGGATAAACCAGCCAGCCACCATTAGGACATATGCCATCCACTCGCTCCCAGTGATTGTGGCAGGTCCGCCGTCGGTGACTTCACCGGACTTGAAGCTATGCGAGTTTGGGTCCGGTGGCGCGGCATAGCCATCGGGACCATTCATCACCGGCGCACCGCTGCTTCCGGAATCTTTCATGTAGAAACCATATTGAATGAGCGTGATTCCCAAGCCGGCGCGGGAGCCATTTTTGGCGGCGTGTGTTGAATGCAACAAATACGTGAGCAAGAAGCCAACCAGTTGAAAAGAGGTAGATATCATGCCATTCCAGACAAAGGAGAAAACAGAGCCGACCGGCATCCCATCCACATATACTTCATCAAGCCCACTTATTCCCGGAGCCAGGATCGTCGTCTCCCAGTACGGAGGTGCCGCGTCAGCTGCTGCCTGCTCATAAGACTGCTTATTCTTAGCATCCCGGATTCGTCGAAATAAACCATTCGAGATTAGACGCTTACTGGAGGCATTTCGTCCTTTTCAGACTCCATTCGGTCAGGCTTCGCAGAAAGATTTGCAAAGACGCCGTCTGACCCAATACCACCTCCGACTACGCGAAGCCTGGTGTCTGAGGATGCATTTCTTTGCATCAAGATCGACGGCAGGTGCGATGATGCGTGGCCAGCAGCCGCAAAGGCTGACGACGAAGAGCTGGCTGTTGTGGCATTTTGCCTCACCAGCCGTTGTCGGTCATCGGCTTCATCTTCACTTCCATCGTCGTCATCATCACCAAAAGCGTCCGCTAGGTCAGAGTCCACCTGGTTTCGTCTCGTGAGTGAAGAGGTTCGGGAATGGAAAGAGGGCGGCGGAGAGTTGGGGATCGGATGCATCGATTTGGGTTCATCGTCTTGGTCGTTGACCTAACAAGTGTCAGCGTGACAATAAACCAGTCGTCGCGATGGGAATATACCCTGGCGTATCGTCCCGGCCCAGGCATTATGAATAAATGCCGAGTTTGACGAGTTGAGCTTCGTTCCAGGTTCGTACTTTGGTCCCCAGCGAGTAGAACCAAATCGCGGTTAAGGAAACAGCCTCAGTAATGGGCTAAGAGAGTGACGGACAATAATAAAACAATAGGGGTAAAGAAAACACGAGGTAGCATAGATTGAGAAGGCGTGAAGGAGTGGATGCGAGCGAGACGAACGAGCCAAGCAGTCTAACCGTGAGGACTGAAGGGTCTGGGGGAGGCAGCATTCATGGTAGGCAGCGCGGGCGACGGCGCGGGAATCATCCTAATAGGATCAATATTACTCCGGCCGATCCTGGCACTCTGACGCCCACAGTACTAGAGAAGTGGACCATTGCATGACATGCTCGACTACGGGACCGCGACTCGTGACAAAATCCAGCTTCTTTCTTGCCAGGTTCAGCTCATCCCAAGACCTGACTTTGTCAGCCAAGATCAGCATGTCACGCTCCATGGCGGTAAGTGTTCGCCTCATATATCACAATCACTTTGGTATTGCGATACCGCGATTGACAGGGGAAACTTAGCGTCGCATATATGCCGATGCCTTTGCGAGATGGCCGAAGCAAGACTTGCGGCCGGATTATCAGCTCCAGGATATTCTTCGCGCAGCGGTAGACGAGCGGTATAAAAATTTAGAGCCTGCCATGGAGGCAGAGGAAATCCTCAAGGCAAGAGCGTTGCAATTTCTTGTCCAGAACAAGTACAACGAAAGGGTACGAGCCAGTCACTGGGGACCAGACGCAGCATGTATAACTGCGCAATAGTGAGGTCTAACGACGTGCACAGTTTAAGCTTCAAGGCCCATTGTTAGAGCCCAAGAGTCAGCCGACTTATTTCAATGATTTGATCCGAGAGATTGAGGAAGCACCACGCAGGACGTGGCTAGAGCGGCTGGGCAAGAGATTATCGGGTATGATAAGGTTGCAATGACTGCGTATAACACGTTTGCATGATAAGTTCTGGTATATTCGGGACGGCCATATGTGGAAATTTTCAGACCTGCGAATTCAGATGCATACAACCCCATTGGATGATGTTGACGTGTACAACGAGGGAGAAACTGAAACTGCTTCATGCAGATATCTCCTCGCATTTTCGTATGCAGTTCCTACTAATTTTTAAAGTGTAATTTTGCGAGACAACTGCAACCTTTTTCCGACCAGAGAGAATGAGGCCAGAACAGACCAAGGCCAGGGAAAACCTAGCGTACGATGCTCTTCACTATAGATACTTCATTTCCGGATCAAACTTGTTGAATAGATCCATGCTCTTCTCATACATGGTGAAAACAATACCACCGCTCAAAACTAATCTCACCAATCTTGGCAATGCTCCGCTCCAGAATGTCAACACGCCTTCCTGCTTGAAAATCATGCTAGCACATTTCAACGTATTGCCATATTGCTGCCGCGCCTCGATACTCTGCATGCGCGTCTTAATGGTGTCGAGAGGCTGTGTTACGAATACGGTCACAAGGCCGGCAACACCGCCAATAGCAAATGTGCCGACAGCGCCAAGCTTTTCCCCTGGAGCGGTGTACGACTCTGCCATTTGCTTAAGGAAAGTGTACGATCCGAAGCGAGTGGCACTGTTGGCCGCCTGGCGGGCTGTTGTGGGAACGAAGCCTTGGAAGAAGCCTCGAATGCCCCGCTCGCGGGCAATAATGGGAACAGCGTGAAGAAACCCACGCATTCGTGGCTTTGCAGCCTTTCTGTCATCGATGCTGACCAACTGTTAGCAGACGATTATAGCCTTGCCGCAAATTCAGAATGGGGGCGTACAGCGTCGTCTTGATGCTTTCGGTTGGCGTGACAGCCAAGAGAGACTCAGTTACGCCAGCACCGAATCCTGCAAGGACCGTTCGAGGACCAGACAGCTTGCCATTTTCATCAGCCAACAGTCTCTTATACTGGTCGAAGGCGACAAATCCTAAGGTGAATTAGTCTTTCTTTCTTTCTTTCTTTCTTTTTTTTTTTTGAACATTTGTTTCCAAGGCCAGACGGCCGGATGTCGGACGTACGAATGCCTGCTTTAGCCGAGTTGCCGATAATCAGAGTCGTGCAGCCGGCGTACCATTGCTTTCCAAAAGGTGGCCACGGGAGTTTCTGGCCTTCTGCCAATCGACGGTTGAGCTGGGATCGCGTCTTGGCAACTGGTCACAAAGAAATTAATACTCATTATCCAGACAATCGTATCGTCGAGGGGAAATGTTGGTTGCAGTTGCGCGAACGACCATACACTCAGCGGGATAGGTGATTGCTATGATATATTTGTGTCAGCATGTTGTCGAGCGTTGAGGTATTAAAAACTGCGCACCGATTTCAATAGCTCCAGCTGTTGCGCCGGCCAGTACCGACCGCGTCGCACTAGGACTTTTCTTTTTTTCCGGCACGACCGGATCATTTGGTGAGAGGGCCATGGTTGCAGATGGAGTTTGGTAAAAACAGGCTTCGTAAATGATGGCGTCGAGGTTCAAAGCAAGAGATACGAAACCGATAGTCGATGGTTGTGGACAATTTACCGTTGATGCCCGAAACCCGCCGATCGGTAGAAATTGGACGCCAAGGTGCCATTTCGGTCCGAAACCGCAAGGCTAGCAAATCTAAGTACCTTGAGCAACCAGCCAGCACATGTACATGTGGGAGGTACAGATAGGTATATTCATGCCTCCAGTTTAGGCGAGATTTAGTCGAGACAACAAGTTATTCGAAGGCAAGACGCAATAATCTCTTTCATTGTCGCCTTAGTTTCAGAGGATATAGTATGGGTTCTTAGAGCTTTGCCCATATCAAGCGGCCATGGTGTAACGGTTAGCATGGCTGATTTCCATTCAGCCGACTCGGGTTCGACTCCCGATGGCCGCATTACCTTGTTAAATACCTGAGGCAGTTGTGGAATTTTTTGCAAAATCTATCGATTGATTTAACCCCTAAGCTTATGTACAGATTCCCTATGTATTAAAAGCTTTAATAATTTGATAAAAGTGAGTAAGTCTTTACAGCTTTTGAATATTTAAAATATAATTTAAAATTTGTAAAAAAACCTTACTTAAAATACATTAGTTATACCTTTTTTTTTAGTTGCCTCTTATATTATTTGTGAATGAGGGTCTTGTATGTGTTAAGTGTAAGCATAACAAAATTTAGTCTTTCTTACTTAGTATACTAAATGTAAGTAAGGTAAGTTATAAAGAATTTGCGTTGCTTTTTATAAGTAAGGAAAAGGGGGTTATGTGTTTCTTTATAGCTGTAAGCGGCTATAAGTAAGTGTAAATTAGCCTAACACAATACCTTTAGAGTAATTAAAGCGTTATAGCAATAAGTTCCTATAAATTACTTAGAGAGTATTAGGGCTATTTAAGGGTTTTCTAAGTTAAATCAGAAAGGTCACATATTAAGGAGACCGGTCGCGGCTCCGCCAGGGTTAGGGTTAGGGTTAGGGTTAGGGTTAGGGTTAGGGTTAGGGTTAGGGTTAGGGTTAGGGTTAGGGTTAGGGTTAGGGTTAGG